TAATAGTTCCTTAATAACTCATTACAGCCTATAACAAGCATAAATTAAACTTATTATTTTTCTTTATGTGTTACTAAGACCTCCCAAACTTCCTCGTTAAGTGGTTCAGCACTTTGGACGTACCTTGGTAGTAGCAGGTATTAGTTTAATGATATTGCAGTATGAACGAATACCTCACTTCCTGCTATCCTGAACTCCTGAGAAGTAAGACTGGTTCTTTTTGTCTTGTTGCCTGGCACGGGAACTGATAACCTGGCAGTACTTACTGAGAGTCAGTGCTTGTTAGAGGACTGAATGAATGTTGTCACTTTTTGGTATCTACTAATCCCCTGCATTACAGTGGAGTACTACAGTTTTTTAGTTATTCAATGTTTAGTACAGTAGAGCATTATAGGTTTTGAGTTAAGACAGATGGCCATTTAGATTGCTGCTATCACACTTGTAAACTCACTTGAGACAAGGCATTTAACCTTTCTGAACTTTAGTTTTTCCCTGCCTGAAAATGGGGCTTATAATGCTTTCTTCTTTGGGTTCCTCTAAGTACTAAGTGAGATGATGTATATGAAACTAATGAAAATAAACATTCGTTCTCTCCCCTTCTTTCTTCTCATGTTGTGTATCTTTTTCAGTTAACATTTTTTGGTTTCTCAGGTGTGGGTTGCTGACCGGGGAAATAAAAGAATCCAAGTATTCGATAAAGACACTGGGGAGTGGTTAGGAGAGTGGACTAGTTGTTTCACAGAAGAGGGACCTTCTTCAGTCAGGTAATTGTTTCTTTTTATTTTAAAATGCTTGTTTCAATCAGTTTATGTTACTCACTTCCTCTGAATATCTAGCTGAAAGTAGAAAATACTTCCTGTTAATTTTAAGAACAGGAGAAATAGAAACAAGTGTACAGAGAAATTAGAAATATGAGATTTTCAAATCCCAGATAAAGTCAAACTTAAATTTCCAGTGCTCTGTGGAAACCCAATATCGGAGATAATATATACCTGATCTATCCTACAGCCTTTACCCTGAAGATACATTTGGTAAATTTTTAAATACAGGATGAAAATCAAAATCTGAGTCTATTTTGAGATCCAGGCTAACACCATTCTCCATTATTTTTATTTTGTGTAGAACTATGATACTGATTTTTTTTTTAATTTAAGCCAATCTTTGTGTCTACCATCACAGATCTCTTACTCCTTCATAAACAGAGTTAGATCAAATTTAAATTCTTTTCAAAAGAATCAAATAGGTAGGTGCTTCCTGCTGTTTAGTACTGTAGGAGATTAAAATGTTGAAAAAATAAACATTTATATTTATTCTACACAAATTTATTATTTAAAATGTTTTTCTCTTTAGATTTACTCCTGATGGGAAGTACTTGATTGTAGCCCAGCTGAATCTTAGCAGGCTCTCTGTTGTGGCAGCACCCCCAGTAGGAGGCATTGGCGACTGTTCTGTGATCAGCACAATCCAACTAGCAGATCAAGTTTTGCCACATCTCTTAGAAATCGATAGAAAGACTGGAGCAATCTATGTAGCAGAAATTGGAGCAAAACAAGTACAAAAATATGTCCCTCTGAATAACTGTATTCCTTCATTTGTTTCATAATGTTTCTTTTCCTGGAGATATTTCAAGTGGCAGTTCAGATTCTCAAATTGATTGTTAGTGCTTAAAATGATGTTCAATAATGTCCAAGATTTGTTTATTTTTACCTGATACAGAATCAGAAAGATTTGATCGCAACCCTCGGTGTCGCGCCCGCACCGCGCTCAACCAGTGAGCGGACCGGTCTCCACATGGGATCTGAACCCTCAGCGGGAGCACCGCCACACTCCCAAGCGCCGCACTCTACCGAGTGCGCCACCGGGCCGGCCCTGCATAGGAATATTTTAATGAAAGAAATGTAATTTTAAAAATGGAGTCAGAAAGAGGAACTAAGGTTGTTATCTGGTCATTTGCCCTGGTAGATGAATTCTCTGGGTTAAAAATGGGAATAAAAATGAGTGCACAGAGTAACTCATTGAATTTCATGGGAAAGACTACAAACCTCTAGTTTGTTTGACTTATATAAAATGAAATGCTTGAGAGATTGTGAATGAGATGGGCAATTGATTAACTTGAGGACCCACAGAGTGTTACGTCCTGAGGACTCAGTATGAGGAAGCAGGATTGTCTGCCTTTTGAGCAGCATACAGCCCAGTGGGGAGACAAGTGGGCAGTCACAGCACAGTGGCAGCAGTGCATGGGTGGGGTGGGACTTTTGGGAGGAGGAGCACTACATCTGGCTGAGGGATTCATGGAGACTTTGCAGGGGAAGTCATTTCGAGCTTGGACTTGAAAACCGAGGACGAGCTTGCCAAGGAGGAGAAAACAACGTGGTCCAGGTGGAGAAAAAAAGTTATAAAAAGTTATCAACTTGCTGTGAACTTTGGTAAACTTTTAGGCTTCTTTAACAGCCCAACTTGGCTTTGGTTTTTTAGCCATAAGATAATATCAACCTTTAAATGTAGGAATAAAATGGCTGGTGTCTAAGTACCTTACTGAAAGGGATTTTTACAAATAACTAGAATGTTTTTTTAAATGAAGCATTAAAAATAGGGCTTCTCCTCTGCTTCGTTTTCTTTTCTTTTCTTTCTATTTTCTTTAACATGAACTCAGTTCATTCCTAACATTTGTCTACCTCAAAGAAGTGTCAGAATTATTTACATGGGAATGTGCCAAACACTTTGAGCTATTAAGATGAATAATTTCCTGCTTTTCTGTTTCTACATCTCTTTTTTCCCCACATTGATCTTAATATTGGCTTCCCAATTAAGACTGTTTTTCTTCCATTTGGTCTAGTTTATTCTAGGTTTTGGTGGAAGCTTGCCATATTATGATCTTTCAAATCATTCTTTCCCCTTTGTCGCATCAGCTGCCCTCATCATCCTAGCATTTTACTGTAAATTTGTAGCACAGGAGAAATCTTGAGCTGACTTTGCTTATCACCCATTAAGGCTGAAGTCTGTTTTCCAGACCTGAAGGAGCTCACACTTGTTTTGATGCTTGGATAGTTGTCTTAAAACAGTTAGGAAGGAAAGGCTACCAACAAGAAACCCTATCCTGTATCCCAAGGCCACTGATAAATGTGTGTGTGCCACTGATGAGACTATGTGATATTGACTAAGTCGCCTTAGTTTTCTCTTCAGGAAGGTAGATCATTGTTGTCTTTCCTCCACGAATGCTGTGAGGATCAGGGTGCAACAGTGCAGAAGTGCTCTTTGAAGTCTGTAGCCACAGGTGCATTTGAGGCATTTTATTAACAAAGCTCCTTCTAAATGTGCTGTTTGCCTGATACCAGCAGCCAGGTTTGCCTTCATTTTGTGTTTGACTTTTATGAAAACATATTTTTGTGGACTTTATGCAGTTTAACTAAATAGTCAACTGATTCGGATGAAAGAAAGAAATTTGAGGTTTTGTTAGTTTGTTTTTAAGCCAGGACAAGAAGAGCAAATGCCTCGCCTCTTGGAAGGTGTGTAGGTTAGGTAAACTGATTTTCTCATTTCTAAAATGTTTTATTTAACTTTGTTTTATACCAGATTCTTATGAAATTTGCTGAAAATATTGTTTCTATGTATCTTGCAAAAAGTGTTTATTAGCATACCTGTAATCATTGTATTTCACTTTTTTCCTTTGAATTAATTGGTTAAATGAATGTGAAATGGGTTGTCTATTAAAAAACAAATTAAAACTTTGTAAAGAAAAGGCTATATTATCTGGCTCCCCAATTAAAGTTTGATTTTATTGCCACAAGAGCAATATTTAACTTCTTATTCCAGTAAAGAATTTCAGTAATCATAAAATCACAGGTTGATGCTGAGAGAATATCCCCATCTTCATACACGTGTAAAGTGTAAGCTGACATGCATAAATATTGCTACAGGTTGCATGGGAGTTAAACACGTGGCTTCCTTTGAGATGGTGTGTGCAAGTGACTGACAGTAATAACTAGTTAACTGTCTATTTCTGCATTAAAAGTTGAACCTCTTTGTGCCTCTACTTTCTAGGTCTGTTCTTCGGGTAGGGAAGGGGAAGACATGTTCCAAATTAACAAACAAAGGCTATGGGTATCTTACCTTATCTCTGCTAAAAGACTGAGTCTTTAAAATGGAATCTTTGTCAGTCAGAGTAAACTTGGATGCAGAGCTTCTTAGGTTCACCAAAATAAATCAGAATCACAAAAAATTATAGATTTATGTGACTTAATTGCTTTATTCTCTGCTATATATTTTCAGTAATAATCAAATAAAGAAACTTTTCTAAAAAGTCTGAAGAGATCAGCTTGATTCATTCAGCAAAAGTTTACGAGACAGCAAATGTGTGAAGGCACTTAGTTGGCAAGTGTCCTCTGCGGTAGTAGTTTGCTGCCTAGTTGGGAAAACAACTTACTTAAACCACTGCCTTTCTTTCAGTACTTCCTCTAGGTACCCTGTTTTGGCACTTGCGTTACATTCTTGATACAAAAGAGGGCAGTAGAGATGTTCTTAATGATAAGCATGTCTTAAACTCAAAGGTGGGCTCCTATAGACATTCTTTATACTTTTTTAAATTGAAGCTGCAGAGTCAACCATACTTTTAATTTTTTTTTGTTTTACTGCAGCTTGCTTACATCTTGGGGAAATTTGTTTGTATATTACACATTTTGCAAGGGTTGTTGGAAAATTTTCCCACTGTTTAAAAAGAAAAGTATAAACCTTTTCAATAATTCAGACTAACAACAAGAAGTTAATAACTCATTTTAAACAAAGGTGAAACTATAATCTGAATATGTAAATTTAGTACAATAGAAAATGTATTCGTATTAGCAGGAAATTACTGTTTTTCTCCCTACTAGTTTGTTTTTTTAAAGAATTTTGCCTTGTGGTTGCTGATTATTTTGCAAATAAGAAAAATGGGTCATTTATAACAGGCTAAATCATTTCTCCACAGAGCAATTATTCATAGAATCCATGCATTTATAGAATAAATTAATCCTCCAAACATGTCATGACATGTAGATACTCCTTTTGTATGTAAGAACTGAATAGAATTTGAGCAATGAAAAATAGCACATCTTGGGGACTTCCGATCAAGATGGCAGAAGAGATGGTCCCCAGAGTCACCCTCTCCCACAACCAACCAGTATACAACTATTAAAAAACAACAACTGCCAATCAAGGGCCACTAGAGCTCAGGTGAAGAGGACGAGACATCTATAGAGTTCATGAAGATGAGAGAAGCCATGACGAGAGAAAGGAAGGACCACTGACCATTTCGAGCCCTGGCCATTTGAAGGCTGGCCCTTGTGAGCACATGGAGCAAGAGCTGACAAAAGCCACAGCTGTACCCTTTGTGTGACGTTTCTTGTGTGATGAATCTGCAGGGGAGAAGTGCCCTGGTGGACCCGAGGCCAGCAATACCATTAACGGGGTTCCGATGGAACCACATAGGCGTGAAGGGCCTCAGACAACTGAAAAAATGAGCCACCTAGAGGTTGATGAGTCAACACAAGGGACCAGCACATGGCCTGCACCATGGGAAGTGTTTGGAGTGCAGGGATTGAGGGAGACGGGCCTCCTGAAGGAGCATTGGGGTACAAAACAGACAGCTGATCTGCCCTCCAGTCAGCACAGGCCAACTCAGTGGAGACCCGTCAGGAATATAGAACTGCAGGGGTGCAGTTTGTGGAGAAGACTCAGGCCCAGACCAGAGTTTCCTCACAACCCAGATGTATGGGACCTCATAAAAGCCAGAAGTGCTTACAAAGTCAAAAATTAAAACCTGAGCTGCACAAAAAGCCTTCCCCAGGGAATCAGCAGCAAAGCAGCAATTTAGCACAATCACACAGCTCAAGTTCTGGTCCCCACAGGAAGTTCCCCCACTTTAGAAGTAAGCAAAGAACAACAAATTTGTTCCAGTGCAGAGTTTAAGTGGTGGGGTAGCTACTAATCCGAGACAACTGAAAGAAATACAAAATACTCACAGATCAGAGAGAAAATTCTGATATTAACCAGTAAAGGTCTAAAACCACCAAAAACATCTATAAAACCTAGAAGAACCAGAAGCCCCCTGGGCTCCCAAGCTGGCAGGAGGTGGGGGGGGGGCGGGTAGGCCAAGGGCCTCAGCTATGACCCCCCAGACATCCACATCTAGCCTGGCTACAACCCAACCCAACCATCACCAGAAGCACCACAGGCATTCAAGCCAGGGTTAGGGGTGCTGAAGACCTCATCATCATTTGTTATTTTATGTTTTGTTTTTTTGGTAGTGGCCATTCTAATCCATCCACTACAGACTGGAAGAGTGAGGCACTTGCTTCCTCTGCCAGCCTAGCATCTAGGGGTAACTATACGTCATGGTTCTGGCCAATGCAATATAAATGAAAGTCTACTGTAGACTTCTGGAAAAGCATTTGCTTTTTAGACTACAAAATAAACAAAAACCATGTTTATCTAGTACCTTCACCTTATCCCCTTCTTCTCTGCCTTGAACTTGAATGGGATGCCTGGAGCTGCAACAGCCACCTCAGAAATATAAAGCACCAAACTAACATTGTTAAAGAAGGCAAAAAAATAAAAGGAGTTTTGGTCCTTAGGATATTGGGGAATGAATGACTGTGTTGGCCTTGTATTTCCTTTCTCCAGACTTTTTTATATAAGATAATTAAATGTTTTTGTAACTTAAGCCACTGTTAGTTGAATGTTTTCTTGCAGGTGAA